TATTATTATTACAAACATTTAATCCCCAATTTGGCCCCTTTCCCAAATTCAAAAACTCACAAAAGTTGGCACACGCGTTTGGTCTGGCAAAAAATTTGATATTTTGGCAGTGTTGTATGTGGACCGGGCCAAATGGCAACATAGCGCCCCCTTGAAAATTTTGTGCCTCAAGCCCCGCCTGTGAGTTTCATCTACACGCATGAAAATTGGTGGGCTCATAAAACATGCCAAGACGCACAAAAAATCCTGCTGAACCCATGCCGTACACCCAATAGGGTTGAATCTGAATTTTTGACATTTTTGAACAAACTCCTCCAAGGGATTTTGTCCAATGGACTTCAAATTTGGTATAGATCATCTAGAGGCCATGCTGATCAAAATTTATTAAAAGATTGTCAGTAGGTCAAAGGGCGTGGCTGCAAGGGCATGACAGATTTTGGCGACTTTTTGTTTTCTCGCCATCGAATTTGGAACGGCTCTCATGCCCACATACTTGGTGCCAGCAGCTTCAAATTTGCTGGACATGATGATGGCTCCGCCCTGAACACCCAGATATGTTAATATCCCACCTTACTCATAGCGCCCACAGGTGATAACAGGAAGTGCCCAGTTTTTACTTTAACATGTACTGATGCCACAAACTTGACCCCATCAACTTCATTCCATTTCTAATGCATGCAAGTTGGTGAAGCTACCTTATGAACGCTGTGAAGCTACGTGTTATGGCGTCCGTGTGGCGGTGTGGCGATTATCGATCCCTCGCCACCAAATACATTTGGCTTTTTGATGGCTTCAACATCATATACATATACTCATGAAAATTGATTCACAGGTCAAGAATGGCGAGCTCTTACATCTGATAGGGGTGTCGCCCATGGGGGGGACAAAATGCCTCTATAGCGCCCCCTTGAAATTTTCAAAAAACCCTCCCCATAGNTTACATCTGATAGGGGTGTCGCCCATGGGGGGGACAAAATGCCTCTATAGCGCCCCCTTGAAATTTTCAAAAAACCCTCCCCATAGGGTTTTTTTTTTGAGTAGGAAAGATGAAAATTTGTACATATTTGTAAGTTGCCCAGAGGCACAAAAAACTCTCTGCCACCAATGGTCTACTCCAAACAGGAAGTCACCCATTTTGATTTAAACTTTTCCTTTTGGCGGTGATTTTGTGATTTCCACACCTTGTATTTTAACAAACTCCTCCTACAGATTTTGTCCAATCAACTTAAGATTTGGTACAGATCATCCTGAGACCATGCTGATCAAAAGTTATTAAAAGCTTTTCTGTATGTCAAGGGGCATGGCCGCTATGGCGCCGCCATATTTGAAAAATGGTCCGCTGCTGTGGTCTATATTTGATGTACACAAACATGACATATCATTAGTGTCTATGCCCGCTGCAGAGGGTTTAATTTTGATGTCTCGCCATGAAACAGGAAATTGCTAGAACTTTGGCGTAAATGGTCCCATCTCCATCAAACTACAGATGATTCATAAAAGTCCTGTCCTGAAAAGATTTATATGACCATATTTCCTGATACTCATAGTGCCACCTAGTGGTGACAGGAAGTAGGTCTCATCAAACACTTATCTTTTGATTTATCTGAAAATTAAATGCTGTGGTGTATATTTGATGTATAAAAACATGATGTATAATTAGTGCGCTCTCCAACTCCTTCTAGTGGAAAGTGAAGTGTCAAAAATCGGTGCCTGGAAGTGGGCCTGTAGGCTCCCGACCTTGAACCTCTTGTCT